TAAATTATCAAATAAATAAAAAATCTAGGTCAAATGTTAAATCCCTTGCCATGTAGGCATGACATGGCAATATTTTGCCATCCAAGCAGCCAAGCGGGGTGTGTCCTCAACGGCAATTAAGTCAGGCGAGCAATCCCAAACGGCAATTAAGTTGGCTTAAGAAGAAGGGCTTAATTGCTTTGATCCCAGAGTTCAAGGGCTTATATGCATCAATTAAAGTCTAAGGGCTTAATAGCGATTCTGAGGTTAGTTCAGGGGCTTAACTTATGGTTTTGCCTTTTGAAATCAGAGATGCTTATGGCTAATATTCGTTCTGTATGGGCTGTACTTAACCGACCTCAAAAAATAATTCCAGTGGGCTCTGGTCATACGCATCTAAAAAAAGAAGGCGGCCTGCTTGCTCCAACAAACTTTTGCTGCTTCTAGAAAAGTTGTCCAATCGCCCCATGGCCCCCTTCTCTGTCGCCTTCCAAATTGTGACAGCTCATCTTTTCTTCACTTTCCCTGTTAGTAATAATCCCTCCACTAAACTTTGTATTTCTGCATCTTTTTACCGAATTTTTTAATGAGATTATTTTATAATGTGTTTTCAGACAAATTGAAAGTGTAATAATATATATTTTTTAGTTAATTAATATAAAAATTAATATATATATAAAAAATTAGAGTTTTAATTTATATTTAAAAATTAAAATTTTAATTTAAAACTTAAAAATAATTAAAATATTAAATGTTAATATTTAAATTAAGAAATTAATAGTTTCTAATATAAATATTAATAAAACCAACCTATTGGGCCTATTGGTTCACCATCTAAGTTTAAGAGCTTGGGTTTAAATAGGTTGGGAGTTCTACTCCCTCCTATTTCTTGAAAAGGAATTTCCTTTTTTCCAAATTCTCTCATGTTTAAAAGAAATAAATAAATATTAATATTTGATAAGATATATTTTTTTTCTTAAAAAATTATGAAGTGACTCCACACGTGTAGAATTTGGATGCAAGTATGCAATTTATTTTTCTAAAAGTAAGAAAAAAAGATTTTCCCAATGACCTTTTTCCTTTTTCATGGTTGACCTTGCGGATGGTGGAAATAATGTTGGTTTTCAATTAAAATTTGTATCTACAGACGATTTACAAAAGGAAGGGATGTGTTCCTTGTAGAATGGGTTATTAAATCTGTCTTGGATAGTTTTAAGGACTTAAATGGTACCATGGACTTAAGTTAATAAATCTTAAACGAACTATACTAAACTTTGCAAGAACAAGGTGTATTCAAATTAAATTAAGCATTTTTATTGTCAAATTAAGCTACTATTTACAGACAGATTTATAAATTGAACTACCATAGAATTGGAGGTTTAGCCCTAAATAACACTAAAGAAAATATGAACATGGACTAAACTAACATGCTCGAAATTGAGAAGAAATGTGAATGCCATTTAAGTAATCATTTGATGAAATGCTACTTATTATAAATATTAAACCAATGTCAATCAGAAAAAGAATAGTACATTGCAGAAATTCAAAAGCTTAATGTTCCTTACATGAAACGAATTTATTGAAGAAAATACATCATGTATTTTCTTCAAGTGGTTAGATCGAACCTCTATAAAATCATTGA